ATTGATCAAAGCTCAGGTATTAGCTGCTGATTCAATCAAATTTGTATAAGATGAACATTTAAAGATCAACTAGCTATGCGATCAGTATTCTGAAATTCTAAAGAGTTGTGACATATGATAATGCCGATCACGTTTAGTGTGAGAACAGCTAACACGGGTCATGGATTTTCGACTAAACGACTGGATAGTGAATCTTCTGACCTGGCGGTTATCCCTCACGGAGTTGAAGGGTTCACACTGTGAAATAGAAACCTTCATATCAAGAAAGCTTTGAAGTTCTTGTACACGCCCCTGCCGGTTTTTCTAAGTTAATAATGAGACTTGTATGACGCAATTTACTCTTATTTCTACCGAATCCTCAAGAACTCAACAACTAGCCATAAAATGCAAACTGTTCTACAACAGGATAACACTAAACAATCCTTAATCTTTATCCATAGGAAATAAGCCCTGGATAACGTGAATCGCATCCATAGAAACTTGTTTCTATGATGCATCCTAATGACAAGCAAACTACTCTTATAGAGACGATGCAGTATAATAGATGTAAGTTATACATATAGCTGTTATGTGTCACAAATTTTTGATGATATATCGAACAACTCCAAATGAGTCGACACTAAATAAACAGTCGTCAGCTCAGTTCCTTTATGAATGTAAGCTACGAACAATTCATAACTCGATATTACCAAAAGAACCCAAGCATCCTGACTCATAAACCGGAAAAAAATTTGAGTTCGGTACAGATGTTCGTGATTATCAACTAGGGTCGATGAAGGCTACGTCAAGATGCAACGAGGTCAATGTTATTCATGATGTGAAAGTTGGCAGTGATATGTATAGACTCAACTCATCATTACAACTCAGATGCCGCCATTAACCCAAAGCTGATTTTGCCCCTAGATACTTTTCAGCTATCCACAATCAATAAGACTAAAAGAAAACAACAGTGGACAGATTCAGTGCCCTGTCAAAAAGAAGTGAAACATCGCTTTGCACAAGAAGACGAAGTAATCGGCAACAATAGAACTCCCCCCCCCTTTCACAATTTCAAATTGATACAAATCAAGGCGAGCACTTTATTGACCATCGATCTTCTTAATACAGGAGGTGTTATTGTGGTGACAGCTGGCTGCTAGCCAGATTGGTAGACAGTAATTTACGTCAATGTTTATGTCTCAAATATTAGTCATGTGAAAACAAGATCAAATACTGATAGCAGACTGTGCGTAGGCGGATACAATTAGCAGATAGATGATCTGACATTCAAGAGACAGCCACAAAGAGATGAAAGATTAACTTTCAGCGAGAAACAACCAATCAGAAGACTGTGTTTGTCTGCTAACAATAATCTATAATAATGTACATGAAAATCTATAAATATGTGTTGATTTCCTTAATAAACGATCTGCTGCCTGACTCTTGCCTTCTGTCGTTACATTATGTGTCAATATAGACTAAGGCGATATTCTGTCTGTAAGAATTTGAAATATACAAATACTGATTTGCTATACGTTAACCAGATAACGAATCGATCAGACTACATAACCAATCAGATAGATAACTAATGAAATTCTAGCACGTTGATTACCGGTCACAAATCGGTTCAATGTTGCGGCATATAATTAGCCTGTGACACTTTTCTGGATGATCATTGTGATTATATATATTCGTAATTGGAGTAACTCTCACTCGCTCGGTTGAAGAGACACATTTTCAATACTACTGTGTGACTGGGAAATTTCGTCACGAACCAACATTAGTTAGAAAATCATTGAGTACTAGAGAAGACTGGACAGTTGTTTCCCTCTGGTTTCAAACTCTCCACAGTAATGCATATCCATGACCACCTCCCCCCCCGGTAGGGATCGAACCCTAGACCTCCAAATGCCTTAAAAGAAACCTTATAATCTAAATATCAATCTCCAGTTCGTTGATGGTTGTCCAGATAAGTTGTGAACAATGAGGTCCACCATGTCAAGATGAACTGGATGCTCATATCGAAGGCAGATTGGTTGACGGTAGCACTATATTGCCAAATTGACAAAGTTAGAATTCACGGGTCACACTGGGTTCCTTGAGTTCAACTAACTTAGCTTGAGATCTTACAATCTGAAGACCCATTGTCCAATCTCTGATGGGATCGTGGGTGCGCTGCTCTGCCGAAGAGTCCCAATATAAAACCTGAAGATTCCCAGTTCAATCCCTACACCTTGAGCTGCAATCTACGAATGTTTGGCATGCGATTCGCTCCCGCCAAATGTAAGATGATGTTACAGGACTGGACTACACTGACTCCTAGTTTAGAAATAGGGAGTGAAGTGGTAGAGCACGTTGACCGCTTCAATTATTTGGGAAGTACCATCAGCCCCAACGGGTTGATCTCTGATGAAATCTCAGCACGGATACAGAGGGCTAGTTTCGCATATGCCAGTTTACGCCGTCTCTGGCGTAGACGTGATATCCGACTATCGACCAAAGGGCGTGTGTACTGCTCAGCAGTCCGCTTCGTCCTCCTATATGGCTGTGAGACCTGGCTATTGAGAGTGGAAGACATGAAAAGCCTGGCTAGCAGTCTTTCATCATAGGTGTCTGCGTTCTATCTCCCGCGTGAAGTGGTATAATAAGGTGAGCAATATTGAGGTTAGGCGTCAAGTGCTAGGTAAGGAGGGGAAATCAATAAACGAGACTGTGAAGTTACATCGATTGAGATAGTTAGGACATGAGTTATACATGCCTAGCCATCGCCTCCCTCGACCGACGGACGGGCAATGTTAGCTGACATAGGGTCAGGCTGGAAAAGAGCTAGCGGCGGTCAAACCAAAACATGGCTTCATCAATCAATGAAATCCACAACAGTTAGTTTAAGCCACGTAGGAAGATGTAGACTGGCTTCCTGGTTGGGGTCCTCGGGACAGTAAAAACCAATGGTTGGAAACAATTGGTGACATGGCTCAAAATCGTTCTCAATGACGCAGATGCATCCACTCCTTGTGACTTGCGATTTCCAAAGAAACTATATTGTTCTTCGTTATTACTATACCTTTGCCTCACACCTCTGTTTACTGTATATATTATGCATTTTTTCTCTTGCTTTGTATGCTACATGGAGTGCGGCGACTTGAACTGCCACACATCGGTGCAAAGTTCTATGTCGAAAACAGATAGACAGTTCAATCCCTCGCTGGGGGGGGGAGCGGATAGTGAGTGTGCACTGTCCAGCTCTCCTTAGTTTTCACATTAACCTCTCTAGCTGATGTTGATTCATGATGAAATCAAACGATTAAAATTACAATTAATCCAAATTCCCACAAATGTCATAATCCAACTATTATTATTATTATGTAAGTTTTTTCTTAAAATTACTCATCCGAAAATGAGAGAAAATTAACTAGGGAATTTATCAAACATTCATTATTGTTTAATCGCATTCATGCAAAACAAAACCCAGAAAGTATGACAGTAGCATATAAACATTATCATAATCATAGTATCGAAGGTTTTAAACAAAGCATACAGATTACATAATTAGTTGTAATACTAGAAATAAAGATAGAGAGAGAAAAAGAAATAAAAATGGACAAAACAAACTATTTTTTTCTTCTTTCGATAAAAGAATATACATAAGTGTACGTGTGAAATACATATATAGAGTGCGCATAACTGATACAATCTTAGTGACTGACTATGGTGAGAGTGCTGTGAAAGCAAGGAGAAGAAGAGGAGACGACCACGAAGAAAACAATAATTGACAATGAAGTAAGTACGCAAGGTGTATGTCTACATGATTTATAGTTTGCATTTATTTCACATATAAGCATTCATGCGTAGATACATAATTATTATTATATTTCTTCGTCTTCTCCCCATTCTCCTTTTCTTCAATTTACAAGTTATACATAAGTGTACAATATTCATTGACATTACATTAATTAAACAAATACTAATGAATTATAATAATTTCCTTTTAAAAATAGAAGGATGAGAAATCAGACATAAAAAAATGAATAAACTGTGAATAACAAGCATAGACCCCCAAAAGAAGTAAAAGAAAACAGACGGGATAATAGTGTTAAAATCAACACAGAGAAGAAGAAACTTCCCCTCTCCCGTCGTCTAATTTTCTTAGGCATAGCAACAACAACAATAATAATCATCACTTCTTCATCATAAACAGGATGTATGCATGCATGTATGTGCGTGTATGTATTTGTGTGTAGGTAGTACGCATGTCAATATATACATGCACAAATGCAAATCATAGATATCACATAACCGCTTTGCTGTCTGTCAGTAGGTTGCATCATTAAATTGCCTATTGTGTGTGTGTGTGTGTGTGGCGGGGGGAGAGAGAAAGAAAGAGGGAGTCTGTTCAGACTAGTTAGACCAGTCAGAAAGAATGGGACAGAGCAAAATAAAGAGAAAAGTGCCCTTCTATATACCACACTCAAATACATATACATCAATCATCAAGCGGTTACATAATCAGTGTGTGTGATTACAAGAAGAAGTATACTACTGTGGAGATTTCCCTCTTTTATATTAAAAGTGACAAAACTGACAGACAGAAAGCATACAGACGAAGTGCAGCAGCATTACACAACTCACACACACACACGACTGTATTATGATTATTATTATTACTATTATACATTAAAGCATAGCAGTCAACATAGCCAGTCAATAGCAGCATAATGAGTGTGGCTAGTGAACAATAAATAAATAAATAAACATAATATGTATGCATATATGCGTGAAAAATAACATTATATAAATGACATTAGAGCAAATAAGTAAAGGAAAAAAATATATAAAATGCAACCAAGAGAATCCAAGAAAAACAAAACAACAAAATAATGATGATGATGATAATAATGAGGACATGAGTAGATTTATTGTGAAAAACAAAAGAAAATAAATAAATAAATAAAGATAGATGAAATTAAACCTAAATAATATTGATTATATATATATATATATATCATACATTGAAATTAACATCAATTATCGATGGGTTCTGTTTTTATCTTCGTTTTATTAACTGTTCGTGTTGGTGTTGTTGCTGGTGGTGGTAGTGATGATCGTCGTCGTTGTTTTGGTGTTATTGATTCATGAGATACCGCGACGGAGGAGGAGGAAGATGCTGATGATGAAGCAGTGATTTTAGAGTGAACAGGCATATCCTTACACCCACTACGAGACGCTCCTCCTCCGGCTGCTGCTGCTGCTGCTACTGATGTTGATGATTTTTTTGAAGATAATAATTTACTTCCAGTATACTTCTCATTGAATGATTTAGCCAATTCACGTAAACTTTGACCATCCTCATTATCACCGAAAGCAACTTTACGCCAATGCATCTTTATAGGAAATTAAAAAGAAGGCAAAAAAAGAGAGGGCATATAGAGGAAGAAGTATAACAGAGTATTCATTTATATACGCGTAAAACTAAATACTACTGACTGGTTGATTGACTGACATGAATGAGTAGTTGATTAATACTCACATCAACCAGTTGCGCTTGTTGGCCAGCCAGAAATCAAAGTAATCTAAACACCAGACAGCTGTTTTACTGGTTTTGAGACCAAGCTCATCATCGGTGTGCGCTTCGGTCAGTCGGTCGGTTTTCGACATTGAACTTTGCACCGATGTGTGACAGTTCAAGTCGCCACACTCCATGTAGCACACAAAGGAAGGGAAGAAAGTAGAAGAAATGCATATTAGAGACAGTAAACAGAGGTGTGAGACAAGGGAATAGTAATAACGAAGAACAATATGGTTTCTTTGGAAATCATAAGTCACAAGGAGTGGATGCATCTGCACCAGCCATTGAGAATGATTTTGAGCCATGTCACCAATTCTTTCCAACCATTGGTTTTTACCGTCCCAAGGACCCCAACAAGGAGGCCAGTCTTAACCTTCCTACGTGACTTAGACTAACTGTTGTAGATTTCATTGACTGGTGCCATGTTTTCGTTTGACCGCCTCTAGCTAACATTGCCCGTCCGTCGGTCGAGGTAGGCGATGACTAGGCATGCATACGTAGCACATGTCCTAACCATCTCAGTCGATGTAATTTCACAGTCTCATCGATTGATTTCCCCTCCTTACCTAGCAGCCGACCGAAGCCTAACCTCAATACTGCTCACCTTATTCTACCACTGCACGCGGGAGATAGAACGCAGGCTCCTATGATCAAAGACAACTAGCCTTTTTATGTCTTCTGCTCTCAATGACCAGGTCTCACAGCCATAAAGGAGGACGGAACGGACTGTTGAAGGTGTGTGCTTGGGTTGACTCAGCTCAAAGAGAGGCGAAGGAGTCAGTTCAAACTATCAAATTCACAATTATAATCACTATTTCAACATATACATACATTACCATAAACTTATTTTATTATGATTCCGAAAAATAGACTCAACTTAGTCGATTAAAACACAATGGAAAAGGGAAAAAGTACTAATTGGTACACATATAGGCTACCTCCGTTCTCCTAGAACACTGTCTTCATGGAACTTAGTTTTATTTCTTTTCAAATTTGTTAAAGTTATATCGAATCACCTGTCTGTTTGATTATATGTATATATATTGGATAAGAAAAGTAACTCGGTCCCTGCTGACACATATCGGCAGCTATGATGTAGTGCGTATTTGGAAAATTGGCTCACCGGCTTAAACCCTCGACTTTCAGTCGTCAATGGGTCTCGGGTTCGAGTCCTGCTCCAGCTGTTTTAGCCTGCACAGCTGGTTAGTATCGGCAGTGTTTACACACAACAAGTCAGACCTGTTCGAGGAAGTGAGTTCAAACAGACAACATGTAGTTGCACGTTTCATTGATGATTTGATACAAAGCACCCGTTGCCCAACGCATAATACTTTGACATCTGAAACGATAAGTATTGTGCTAGATACGTACAAATAGGACAAAATACACGCGTCCTGAATTCCACTACTACTAGCCACCGCCAACTAAGAAACAAATCGTGTCAGTCCAACTACACCTTTACTTAATTAATAATCAATAAACTAGATGGGGGCGATGAATACAGTGAAGTTGGCCAGTTTTTATGATTCTCCATTGGACTCTTCATAACCAAAAATTAGATGTCACCATACCACTCATAGTTTATGCAACTACCTTTAAAGTCCTTTTAGAAAAATATATATATACATAAATACAAAGGATCATTAAAATATAGCATTGTAAGCCATTACATCTGAGTTTTTAATTCAGGCAGGAAGACTACAGATATATATGACGTTAGTAAATCACTACCAAACACTACACTATGAATGGATTGAATCTCGCAATCATGTATATTACAGTGATTATGGACACAAATATTTAAACTGCAAGTAGACTATTCAAAGTACAGCAACCTTTTATGAATGTTACACCAACAGATAATAAATAGAATAAATGAGGCTATATAGTGTGGTATTGTAAAGGGTAGGAATGCAACCACAGCTGTATGACTCTTTATGTTATCCGATAAGTAGATACTAGTATGTTGTGTTAACTTGTATTTTTTTTTATACATAAGTTGTTATATTAGAATATCTGCATGGATACCGAGTGGAATATTTTTACCTAATGAGGGTTACACCTTCTGCATGTTCGCTAATGACACTTATTTTTATTTATTTAAAATACAGAATCTAATGAAATGTATACACCAAGAAGATGCGAAGGCTGGGATACTGCCTGGGCGCCCAGACCGAAGTAGATGGTTGTCTTAAGGGACCAAACCCCAAGCCTTTAACTTGAAGTATATCATCCACAAGGCAGAGGAGCAGTATCAGCAGCTAAGTTCCCATGGTTGCTGGTGACCGGCAGGTTCATAAGCCATTCAATATGTGTTGGCTTCTGGTGCCCATGGACACCATAATAACTGCTTTTAGTCTAACTGCTATGCAAACAATCTTCCAAACATGGTAGAACCTGTAGAAATATAAGTCCAAGGCAGCATAGTTTGTTGGATCACTGTGGTATGCAAGTCTGAACACTACATCAAGGTAGCAGTTAACGACACTAACCAGCCATCCAAACCTATGTAGTTGAAATTGTTTAAAAAATCTGATGCACACCAGTTACAAATAGAGTGTGAAGACCAACAATCCATCATAATTAAATACCTTATACAAATCTTCCCATTAATAAACGTGAACAAACCAAGAACGACAAATTTATCAGGATAATGACATGAGCTAGCGTTTTTATTACTTCAAGGATTCTTCTCAACTGACAACCATCTGAACACTATCAAAAATTTATTTAAGATTGAAAAGATTGTCTACTTACAGAACAATTAGACAAATGATTTTGAGAATAGAGTTCAAAATGTTTTTGGGTAGAAATAAAGTTTCACTAGAATGAGTATAACAATATAACAGTAGATTATGTAACTGCATAAAATATCAAACAAAACAAAAGGGTAGGGTGAGAAATGTTCACATGAAAGGATAGAATTTTCTATACAGGACAGAAGATATAGGGGCATAAGCAAGAGAAAGAGAAAAAAATCTAGCTTGCTACGGTTTTGTTGATGTAATCGCCAGAAAACGATCAAAACCAAATTTACATAAGTAGAAAGAGACAGTGGTGAATCTTTTACTACGGTGTTGATTAAACTTACGAAACTGAGTATACAATTTGATTACATCATGTATTTTCCTAAATCTTCTGTTCTGCTTAGAAAATTTACTTGTTTCATGTGAGTGTCACTCTCACCTTACTCTTTTATTTCTATTTTATAAAAACATGTTTTTTGTAGTTTAATAAACTATTATTTTATTTTTTGATTACAGCTTGATTCCAGACCGTATTTTTTTTGGTACAGGTATGGAATTTTCAGTATGTGATATCGGTACCGACCATAGGTATCAGGTGTGCTTCGGCAGAGGATCGACCCCCGGACCATGTGCATGGTCGACGAGAGTCCTAACCACTGTGCCACCGACTCATTCTAGTTAAACTTTATTTCTACCCAAAAACATTTTCAACTCTATTCTCAAGAGTATTAGTCTAACTGTCCTATAAGTAGACAATCTTTTTAACTCAATAACTTAACAACTTATGTGGCGTGTACTACTGATAAGATTTATCAGTAATATATAAAGATGTTCATCGGTATAAAAACATCAAATAGCAAGGAGATACATTTGATTTCAGAAAAGGCAAATGATGCAGCGTTGTGGAGATACATGGGAGACGTGAAAGGAACACAAAGAAACACAATATGAAGGAAGACCAGAAGTAGCACCACATGGAAGATCTTTGCAAATGGTTCATTCAAGATAAGGTGTACATAATTTCGCTCCAAAGAGATACCAAATTCCAAATAAACATTTCTTCATCAAGTCTCTCGTCTTCTACCGTTAGTTACACTTACATCATTCCAGACCCATTATACTCTTAGGTCCTATCAACTACCTCTGCTTATTGCGAGAAAAAAAGTATGTTTAAATCTTTATTGTGTTCAGGTGGTTGTCAGATGAGAAGAATCCTTGAAATAATAAAAACGCTAGCTTATATTATTATCCTGGTAAATTTGTCATTCTTGATCTGTTCAAATGCAAAATTACACAGCATAAGGCTACATACTACTAAATGACTGAAATCAATACTTTCACACCAATCATAACCAACCAATAGTGTTTACCAGCTAAATCAAAGTGAAAATATTCACTCAGACATCTATAAAACACAAAATAATTGAGCAAAGAATATCCTTTTCGATAATTTCCTCTTCTCGCTCTACAATTATATATACTGTACATTTATATACATAGAATATTCTAGATTAGTAGTCAATAACAATATTAGTGTTTTTTAAATAATATCGATTTGTAAAGTATGATCAATGGAATTACAGTTCATTAAAGATGCTTAAATTATAATAATAATAAAGATATAGTAGCGAATAGAATATCAACTAAAATTAGGGAAATTTCTACAAAAAAATGAGGATCATTCAAACCCAGATGGCCAATGTAATGATAATGTCTGAACTAACTTCTTTCGGACGCACAAATTAGGCTTGTTAATATGCATCTCCACAGCCCCACCAATTTAACTGCTCCTGTGGAGCCAGTTAGTTGCATAGGCCGTACAATTAGGCGTGTTTCTCGTCGAATTTCCGAACATCATCCTGCACAGTGAGTGGTTAAGTAAAGGACAAACAAAATCTATTCACATAGCTCTATTCTATCTCATTTTGTGGGTACAGAACACAAGATTGATGTTAACCAGGCTTTCAGGGTCATTTACCGCATACCTACGAATCTCAATTTTGCCTTAAGAGTTCGACTACTAAATATAGCTGAGGCTGGCTGTTGGGATCCACATTAACAAGCCTAATTTGTGCATCCAAAAGAAGTTAGTTCAGACATTATCCTTACCTTGGCCATCTAGGTTTGAATGATCATGAATTTTTGTGGAAATTTCCTCAATTTTAGTTGATATTCTATTTGCTACTGTATCTTTATTATTATTATTATAATTTAAGCATCTTTAATGAACTGTAATTCCATTGTGATCTTACTTTACAATTCGATATTATTTAAAAAACACTAATATTGTTATTGACTACTAATCTAGAATATTCTATGTATATAAATGTACAGTATATATAATTGTAGAGCGAGAAGAGGAAATTATCGAAAAGGATATTCTTTGCTGGCTCAATTATTTTGTGTTTTATAAATCAAAGTGATCTAAACATTGCTCGTTTGATGGCTGATCTCACCTAACTACTCGTATCAATCAATGATTTGTGGTAGTAGTATATAGCGGCATGCATTTGTGCTTCATTTTCCAATTACTAGTCATGATATATATCAAGCAGATCACATGAAATTGAAGGTGAAATTTCGCCAAAAAGCGTGTAAATTACGAATTAGCTTTGTCACTAGATAACTACTGGCGACTGGCCCTATTCAGGTAGGTAGGGGTTCCAGTGGGAAGTCGTCACCACCAGTAGGGTGCAGCAGGTCGGGTGTGAGGACAAATACTCGCCGAAGATATTGGCTAGCGGTTGCGCTATATCGTGAATTGTCAGAAGTTAGAATTCATGCACTGGCCATTGGATCGGGTCCCAGTGGCTTAATGGTATACGAGCTCGCCTTGTAACCAGAAGGTCCTGGGTTCGAACCCCGGTGGGTGTGTACTACTGAAGAGTCCCAAACTGGCCTGACGAAACAGCTGTCCAGTACTCCCAGTTGGTTTTCCAATGGTTCTCTAACCAATGTCACCTCATGATGAAATCCTGTAACCAATCAACCAAATCCCTACAAACCAATACTTGAAGATAACTACTGTGTCTGCTTGTTTTTAACCTAGTCTTTATCATCCACTCATCATCATCAATTTACCATCCTGATAAGATAAAACAAAAGCATGCATGAATTAACTAAGTAAAAAAAGTTATCCTTTCCACATGCATAAAAAACTTACTTCATCACCGACTTGAACAACACGTCGTAGCATTAACTGTGGTTGTTGTCTTGCTGGAAACGCTAACGGAGTTAATGGATCCCAGGTGATATCATTACTACTGGATGCTGCTTGTTGTGAGGATTTATAAGATGAAAGATTATTATAATACTGCATCAGAGAATCTCTACCACTTGAAGAAGCAAGTGAAGATTTGTACGGATCTGAATTGAATCTGTTATTATCCTTTAACCTACTATTATTATTGTTATTATTATTAGCAGTAGTATTACTATTATTGGCAAGTGCATTGGATAGTCTGGATTTCTGTGCAGCAGTCAACGACATTCCTGGCGTTGTTGTTTTTGCAGCAGTAGTCATCGCCAACATCGATGCAGATGGTAAGCGTGAACGATTCCATGCAGTTGCTCTAGCAGTCAAAAGAGCTATACACTTGGCATCATCATATGAATTATGCGAGGATGTTGGATAACTTCTCTTTAACCGATTATTATTATATTATTATTGCTATTTTCTGTAGATGATGAATGCGATGATGAGGCAGCACTCTGTGGAGTGTCAGCAAACAATTTGGTACATAAAGGTCTCTAAAGAAGTAAACCAAAAATAAATAAATAAACACACATTGTGAATATAGGAAAATAACATTTTTTTATTCCTTCACGTTCCCAGTGGAACATAGGGCGTCAAGCTAGTGGCTTGAAGTTTCTGTAGCAGTGGTGTTTATTTTTACAGGATGGGGTTGCTAGCCCTATGCCCAACCTTTCCTCTTTACCAACTTTATTACTGGCTTAGCGAGGTAAAGGAAAAATAACATACCGCACAAATATTTTGACAGTAAGACAAAATACAATCCACTGAATAAAACACATACTGTACACACCACACACTAGGTTATTTGTTAGGTTGGTGATAGAATTCTCTAAAACATGGAAAGCGTTTGATATATATATATATATATATTGTCGCGTAATAACTTAAAGAACAGATCTAGTTTTGTCGATAACTTTTCAAAAACGGCAGCATAGACCACCTCCTGCTTTGTTAGAACCAAATTATCAGAGAAAGATCATTCATGAAGCAAGCTATAAGCAGAGCGCTTACCGTCTAGGGACTGATGATATTAACCATCCGATTATTACCCATGGTTGAAGTAGACGGAGTGGGATCGAATCTAGGACCTACTGGTTGAAAGTCAAGTACCTAAACTAAATAAATGCATTACTTGCACTTAGTCATTCTGGTGTTCAAACAAATGATGCATAGGGTAGGACCATTACATGAGGGAATAAACGAACTTTACGGTCGGATGATGCTAAAACTATGGATGGTAGACTAATAAATTATTCTAGAGAAAATAATTCAAATACAAATGGATTCACTTCAGTTGATTTCCTATAAAGCAGGTGTTCTTGGCACTGGAAATCCTCAATTAAGTAAAAATGGGTTTAGTTATCATTTCATCATGAGAGTAATTAAAATGCCTTCAAATGTGATTGTGTGTGTGTGTGCGTCGGTGGCACAGCGGTTATGACTCTCGCCGACCATGCATATGGTCCGGGGTTCGATTCTTTGCCGACGCACACCTGATATCAATGGTCGGTCTGCAAAATTTGGGCTACCGATATCACATGCTGAAAATTCCATACTTGTACCAAAAATACTATGTGGTTTCAAGCTATAACAAAAATTAAGTATGATTGGACATGAGCTTGTAATTTTTTTAGTTTTAGACGAGAAATACTTGGTCTCAGTATCATTTGCTACCAGATAAGTAAATAATGGTGGAATACTTGAAATGAACGCAAAAGAAAACGAACATTATCCTCATCGCTTTTTAATTGCTGAACATAAACCAGTACTTTTAACTAACCTACTACAACGACGATGTAGTAAGTAGTATTACACTGAGGTTGAATTAATTAAACTACATCTCTTTTAATAACATTAATAATGTCTGTCTGTCTGTTTTCGACATAGAACTTTGCACCGATATGCAGCAGTTCAAGTCGCCACACTCCATGTAGCACACAAAGCAACAGAAGAAAGTAGAAGAAATGCATAATAGAGACAGTAAACAGAGGTGTGAGACAAAGGAATAGTAAAAATGAAGAACAAAACAGTTTCATTGGAAATCATAAATCACAAGGAGTGGATGCATCTGCGCCACTGAGAACGATTTTGAGCCATGTCACCAATTGTTTCCAACCATTGGTTTTTACCGTCCCAAGGACCCCAACCAGGAAGTCTACACCTTCCTACGTGGCTTAGACTAACTGTTATGGATTTCATTGACTGGTGCCATGTTTTCGTTTGACCGCCGCTAACTCTTTTCCAGCCTGACCCTATGTCAGCTAACATTGCCCGTCGAGGAAGGCGATGACTAGGCATACGTAACACATGCCCTAACCATCTCAGTCGATGTAATTTCACAGCCTCGTCGATTGATTTCCCCTCCTTACCTAGTACTCGACGCCTAACCTCAATATTGCTCACCTTATTATACCACTTCACACGGGAGATAGAACATTAATAATAACTTTATTCTGAGAAATGCGTTTATACATATTACAGAATCCTTAGCACGTCATCTCGAATGTAGACGTGATAACCTTCCGGCTGGCAATCAAGGAACGTGTGTTCGGTGCAGCACTCCACTACGTCCTTATTTGTAGCTGTGAAATATGCCTACTGAATATGGAAAATGTGTAAAGACTAACTGTCTTTGACCACGGAGGTTTGAGTTCCATCTCTCACTTTAACTGATATAATCTGGTGACCAACATTGAGGTTAGGCGTAAGGTTCTAGGCAAAGAACGGAAGTAGATATCAACGAGGCTGTGAAACCGTACTCATTGAGAAGGCTCAGATACGTATTATACATGTCAAACCATCGTCTTCCTCGACGAACAATGTTGAATGACATAGGATTAGATTGAAAAGGAGATGGGAGTGGTCAAATCGAAACCAAACACCAATCCACGAAGCCTTTGCTAGTTTGCACTTTGAGCCACGCATCAAAGTGCAAACTTGTCATAACGGAGCGTTACTGTTTTTGAGGTTGTCGTTTAACATGACTACAAAACACCTGCAGACATAACACTATGTCGAACTGATCACTTGAAAATATTCCACGCACTACAACAATAACAACAACCCTTCACAATACAGAGCATAAAATATCGTTTACACATCAACGGAAAATTTAAACCATAAATCCATAATCAATATCTGATTGATTGCACGACCTTGAAGATCCTCCAAAATAAATTAACCGAAAGTTTATTATGCCGGCATATGCATGAATCATAACCTCACGGCTAACTAAGATCGTGATCCTCAATTGTTTGCAGAAATTTCCTTAATTTTATTTGGTATTCTACTACATATTTCTGAGGCTGTTGAGGTCTATATAAAGACACCTCACTTATGTATATGGATGACACCTTTATTCTTTGTGATAATGATTCGGATAAGAAATCAATAATTACCCAATTCAATGAAGTACATTCTGCTATGAAATTCACGTGCGAAGAGGAATCCCAAAGCAGAATTGACTTTCTAGATGTCCTCTTTACAAGAAAACCAGATGGTAGCATAAAGAGAAATTTGCATAGGAAAAGTACATGGACAGGACAATATACATATTTTTCACAGCTTCGTTCCACTCCAGTATAAAAGAAATTTAGTAAAGACCCTCAGCCCACGGGGTTGAAGATCAACTAAGGATTGTATATGATACCTTGATTGAAAATAGTTATCCCGACAAATTTATCAAGCAACACATGACAAAGAAAGCGGAAAACGACTATTCTCCATCCGTAAACAAGAAGCCTTTGTATATATGACTGCAATTCCCGGGTGATATATATACCTAACGAAATAATTGCGAAGTTAAGAAAATCAGTTCAAAGAACTTTCAATGCTGGCAGACTACAAGTCATGTTTACTACACGATCGATGATGATTCTTCGATTGAAAGATGAAGTACCTAGACTAGACACTTCTAATTCTGTCTACCAATTCAACTGTGATGGAGCGAGTTATATTGGCCGTTGCTCTAGGAACTTGATTTTTCGTGCTTGCTCGGGAACATCTACGAGTGTGGCTAAGTAAAGGTGTAGTAAAAACCATCAACAGTTTGATATTAGACCACATGGTCCAAACCGGCCACAAAGCCAGAATTGAAGAATCCTTCTCTATCATTTACAAGGCACCAAATCAATTGTTAAAAACATCCAAGAGCCGCATACTCCAAACACCAGAGGCTATCGCGATTCGCCTTAAACAACCAGTGCTTTGTGTGGAGAAGAAGCAAGTTCGACCAGCCACTACTACTGCCCTGTCTTGCCTTCAGTGGAGACTATAAATTCATGAATTTGTATTATTATTATTATTCATCCCTAATTTCTTGCATATTCAGTGTGTATTGTTACGTTGATGCCATCGAACTGTAATCAATTGATGTTGTTATTAGTGATTCGATGTTATTTAAACAACATTCATGTTGTTAGTAACACTAATTCATTGATTGTTATTCATATATAACTGAAGAACCTGATGAAGAGCAGGTTATCGAAAAGAATATTTCTTGTTCAGTAACCATTCTTTTGAAATAAATAATTTTAATGGGCATTTTTAATCAGTCAATCATAGAAATGTTAAAGGGATTGATTTACTGAAAAGTAATTAGTTAAATATGTTCATAAGGTTGAGAAAAATAACCAGACGTACTCACACTGATTCACGCTCAAAAAGTGGTGTCCGTCAGGGATGTCCACTTTCCCCATTTCTGTTTAACTTTATCATAGATATGCTAACGGAAGTATCCTTAACTGAACTTAACGACTTAGGAATCGACTTATTACCAGGGAATCGTCTTATGGACTTAGAATATGCAGATGACATAGTCCTGTTAAGGATGCTGACAAAATGCAGAGTCTTCTGAACACCTTGAGCGGCAATCTTCGCATGTTTGGCATGCGATTCACCCCTGTAAAATGTAAGATGCTGCTACAGGACTGGACTACGTCAACTCCTAGCTTAGTGACAGGGAGTGAAGTGATAGAACATGTTGACCACTTCACCTATTTGGGAAGTTGTATCAGCACCAACGGACTCATTGGCGACGAAATCTCAGCACGGATCCAAAAAGCTCGAGCTGCTTTCGCTAACTTACATCATCTCTGGCGTAGGCGTGACATCCGACTATCAACCAAGGGACGTGTGTACAGCTCAGCAGTTCGCTCCGTCCTTCTCTATGGCTCTGAAACATGGCCAATACGAGTCGAAGACATGAAAAGGTTGACTGTTTTTCATCATAGATGTCTACGATCTCTTTCTCACGTTAGGTGGCATAATAAGGTAAGTAATGTTGACGTTAGGCGTAGTGTTGGGCAAAGAGGGAAAATCAATCGACGAGGCTATAAAGTTACATAGACTGAGATGGCTAGGTCACGTGCTGCGCATGCCTAACCATCGCCTCCCCCGACGGACGGGCATTACTAACTGATATAGGTGCAGGTTGGAAAAGAGTAAGTGGTGGCCAAACAAAAACATGGCATCAATCCATGAAATGCTTGATAGTTAAACTGAGTCACGTAGGGAGATGCAGAGTTCCGGGTTGGGGCCCTCGGGACTCTAAGAATCAACGGCTGGAGACAATAGGTGACATGGCGCAGATGTATTCAGTCTCTTTAACCTTCATATTCCTTTCTACCATTACTCATTCTGTTTCACTCTTATACCTGTCAAAACTCTATTGATTCTCTTCACTCATTTTCCTGTCTACGTTTGTGTGCTATTTGGAACGTGGCAACTCGAACTGCTGCACTTCGGTGCCAAGTTCTGTGTTGAATCCAGACAGAGACATACGCTCAAAAAGTAGGTAATACTATGAGATTACGCTTCAACTGTAAGAAATTTTAAACATTTATCGCTTATCGATGAAATCATGATAAACAGGTGACTTATGCATGGAGAAAAGGTGGTGAAATGAGTCAGTTATTCATTTATTACCAGAAAAAGAAAACAAAAACACAAACAAGAATAAGGACTTACCCGCCTTTGTAAAGATGTATCCTCTTCCTTGTATTTTGTATATGATTGACTATCCGGTGTTTTGTCTATATCAAATTTACTACTAATACTACTACTACTACTATTATTAAAAGCATATCGTCCTTCAATGCCAAGAACAACTGGTGGACTGGCTAAATGAAATGATAATTGATCAGCTTCACTTATAGCTTTTGTAGGTGTTTGTATAACAAAATCCTGTTGATGATCATCAACAGAAGTCGTCAGAACATTGAATAAATCATTGGATACTATTCCTTCTCCTCCTCCTCCTGTTGGTGTCTGATCATCATCATCACCATCACCACCACCACCACCACCAAGTACTGGTGAAATAGTTAATCTTGAAGAATATTCATTAGGCAGACTGTATGCAGAAGATGAAGAACCAGTGAGATCGTCAAAATCTGATCCAAGATGTATTAAAGGAGATTCATGTTTAATGAAAGATGAAAGACTGAAGTCAAGTTTTTTATCTGGACTATAACTACTACTACTACCACCACTATATGGATTGTCTTTAATTAAATCCACTGGAGTAGATGTAGACAACAGGGAATTGAGGGAGCTGTAAGAAAGATTAAAAAAAATAAAAAGAGAATGAGGGGAATAGAATACGCAAAATAAAAGTAAAACTATAATAATACTACTGACTAGTGGTATATTATTATTATTATTTCCTTTAGTTCCTAGAGGAACATAGGGCTTCAGCCATGTGTCTCCATTGCGTTCGGTTCTCTGCTAGAGTTTTCACCTGGCTCCAGGTCTGCCCACATGCTTTCATCTCCTCTTCACATGATCTCCTCCAGGTCACCCTTGGACGACCAACTCGTCGCTTCCCTTTCGGGTTCCACTCGAGGGCTTGTCTAGTGATGTCACTTGCTGGTTTCCTCAGAGTGTGGCCAATCCATCTCCATTTCTTCCTGCCTATTTGTTTCACAATGGGTTCCTGGTTGGTTCGCTCCCAGAGATCTTTGTTGCTGATCCTTTCCGGCCATCTGATCTTGAGTATTGAGCGAAGTGATCTAAACACCAGACAGTTGTTCCCTTCTTCCTGGAGACAAATCCGCCAACAGTATATAATACGTGATCTGATTCAACTCACAGAAGTGAGAAGTGAATCGAGTGAAACCACCGGATTTCTCTCACTAGCTAGTTAGGCGTTGTACGAGGCAATAGTAATCAAAAGGAAATCACTAATTATTTTGAATGACAGTTGACTGTGCCACCGACGCACAGTGGCTAGGACTCTCGCCGACCATGTACATGGTCCGGGGTTCGATCCCGTGCCGACGCACACCCGATATTTATGATCGGCCTGCAAAATTTGGGCTACCGATATCCATGCTGCAAAATCCCATACTTGTACTAAAAATACGGTGTGGTATCAAGCTGTAATCAAAATAAAAAAATACAACAACATCAGTTTGCATAACAATTTGTGTTCTTCATGTATTCCTGTTTTTTTTTCTTATTTACCGTTGATACCTGGGCTGAATTGTACAGTTTCATTTTGGTATACACCGGTTCGTTGAACAAATGTCTCGATATTATTGAATTCACCACGAAACAGGCAACTCCGAGTTATTTATTCTGGTAATATATCAAGAAATCTTTTCAAGCAACCCATATGCGAAAATTTTTTTTTATCCTTCACGTTCCCCAGTGGAACATAGGGCTTCAAGCTAGTTGCTTGAAGTTTCTGTAGCAGTGTTTATTTTACAGGATGGGGTTGCTAGCCTCATGCCCAACCTTTCCTCTTCACCAACATTTTTTGTGGCCTGGCGAGGTAAAGGAGTGCGTCGGCCGGGGTTCGAACCCCGGGCCATGTGCATGGTCGGCGAGCGTCCTAACCGCTATGCCACGGACGCACTGACTGAATTACTACATACTGTCAACTCTTCGTCGAACTAATTCTCACGTAGTAACCGCTTACAGATACTTGAAGCATACACGGAGGCAGCAATGCTTTAGAAGAGTTGTGTGTATTATATACTTTAACTATATATGCTATTGTCCTGGAATTATTCTGAATGCTTGAGGAATCCCGAATGATCAAAGTCTTTGCGTGTCAAATACCAACTATTTCAGATATCACAACTTCAAAGTATGTCGTATGCAGTAAGCTTATTCTTCTGAATTTATTGATACCAGGTTTATTCTATGATTTTATGTATGTCTCCTTTAGTCTTCATTGGCCACCATTGATGATTTCACACTAAGGTGTAATTACTTGACACACAAGCGGTAATTTACCCCTACTTCTTTAAATCTAGTAGAACTCAAACATAGTCAGATAACCATCTCATCCAGCACATGTTACGTAATCGGATGAACCTAGCAACCACAACTTAAGTCATAAGTGGTGATTAAATCGATAAGGTCAAGGAAATTAACCACACTCTTCTGGTGTGATAGTGTTTAGGTAAATTAAAAAGGCAAACTGAGATAAACCAGTGAAGTGTATTAGAATTCTTTACACATAAAAGCCAAATTTATTATTTGAATCTGTTGATCTGTCCTGACATCATAAGAGGTGTGTCGGAGTGGTGAATCAATGAAACTTCATAGTTTTTCTGGAACAATACAGATCATGATCAAATATTGCAGTGAATCAACCAAATCCCTACAAACCAATACTTCAATATCAATGAAATGCTCACTAGCGACTGGCCCTATCCAGGTAGGAAGTTACCTGCGGTTCAGTTGGAAAGTTGTGACCAGTAGGGTATGGCAGGTCGGTGGTGAGGACGAATACTCACCATCTATGATATTGACTAGTGGACGCGCTATGTCGTGAGTAGGTAGAAATTGGAATTCATGGACTGGCTATTGGATCGGGTCCCAGTGGCTTAATGGTCTACAAACTAGGTCACCTTGTAACGTGAGTGTGACCCTGTGTTCAAACCCGAATGGGGTGAGTGCGTACTGATAAAGAATCCCAAACTAGGATAATGGAAATAGGTGTCTAGTACTCCCTGCGAAAATGAGGCTAGTTAATTCAAGTCAGATATATATCAACGGGAAACCAAAATCATGAATTAATAATTCTGAATTATATCGGTGGCATAGAGGTAGAATGCTCGTCAACCACGTAGGTGGTCCGGGGTTCGATCCCCGGCCATCGACGCACTCCTTTACCTCACTAAACCAGTAATAAGACTGGTAAAGAGGGAAGGTTGGGCATGAGGCTAGCAACCCCATCCCGTAAAAATAATCACCACTGCTACAGAAACTTCAAGCCTCTAGCTTGAAGCCCTATGTTCCACTGGGAACGTAAAGGGATAATAGAAAGCACAAGAAGTTGCTTTTGTGATTCAGTTAATACGGCTGGCTGACGTTTCTTAGGGATACACACACTGGGTTCGAAGCCCACCCACTGGGAAAACACATAAAAACAGCTGACGAGTGGTCGGTCATAGACAGGACAAAATATGCGTCGTAGATTTCACTACAAGCCACAGCATAAACAAGTAAACTTCACTCAGTATATGTTGTCAACTAAAATTCATGGAAAGATAATTTTCATAATTGAACCAACAGATTTTCAAATTTCATTACGGATTAATATCAGCTAGAGATCCATTGAACACCGAAAGGGGGTACTCTGGGTAGCTGTCTCGTCCAAGTTTAGGATTCTTCATCAGTGCACACACACTCACGACCCCACCAAAGATTGAATCCAGGACATTCAAGTTGAGACACGAAGACTGTTGATCATTCATTAAGCCTTTTGGGTCAGAATTTTAAATTCTGTGAATCATAACATCATATTCTACCGACTTTCTAGTGCTTCAACTGAAATTCTTTTCTTGTTCACGTGATTCTTTCCGATTCATTCTGTTATTTTTTCATTTAAAGGGATATGAAAAGCGGCTTCACATGAATTTGTTGTGTTTTCAACTTTTCCACTTCAAATGAAAATTAATCATATTCGCATGAAGGACCGTTGAATTTCAGGCGTAATGTAAAAACCATGCTGCCATTCACAACGACTACCACTGAGATATACTATCACTATATTACCTACCACCACCTAACGCTCCATTGTGTTTCAGTTATCATATTTGAAACACACTCCGAAAACCTGAACTCACTAAAGTGAGCCAGATCAAAATGCCAATGACCATGTACGTCTTGATAATATGCTTTGTTTTCGTCACTCACACTCTGATGTAATTATACACTTCCATTTATACATGTGAGAAATATCTACGTAAAACATTTTATGCCACCTCAGATGATGGTTATTAACTTTTTTTACATTCCTTTACGTTCCCAGTGCAACATAGGGCTAGTCTCATGCCCAACCTTCCATCTTTACCAGTCTTATTACTGGTGAAGCAAAGTAAAGGAGTGCGTTGGCTACTGGGGATCGAGCTGTGAACCACATGAGTGTTTGGCGAGCGTTATGCTACCGTTATGCCACCGACGCTTTATTAACTAAGTAGATCAATTGATAGTTTCAGTAAATACATACGGGACGATACAGAAGTGTAACTATGATTAAAAAAAAAAACTCAGAACCCTTTCCGATCTTTTTTCTTTCAATTTCATGACCCTTGATAAGTGAATAGACATTTCACCTGTGACATAACTGGAGACAGATTTAAGACACAGCTTTGTATCCGTGTCATGATTTCTTATCATGGGGTCAAACATACAACTACTTTAAATACATAAGATTATATGTGAAAATAAAATGCGGATGAATTCATTCGATTGTACTTGAGAAGAATATTAATCAAATTCTCTTCTTCTCACGAGACATCAGTGTATGTGTGGTGGGATATACATATAAAAAGAATATCGAATAGAGAGATCACGATAAAAGTTGTGTACAAAGAGAGAGGAAGGGAAAACACATAAATTTAGGGGGATAGAAATTCTGCCTATAAATTATAACCTTCATATGACCTAGAAGGAATAAGGTTAAATAAACATATGTCCAGAGATAATCGTTTATCGAATATCTGTCTATATATAACACACACACACACACACAAAAGAAGGTTTATGAATGAATAGGGGATAGTTTCAAGAGGATCAACAAAAATCTATGGATCACACGTACTATTCAAGTATTCAAGAGAAAAAAAATGTGATAAGGCAAACAACCTCTTCAGCTAATAAATACACACACGCAAACACACATTTCATATCACATAGTACGCCTATGGGACGAGACTTTAGACATCACAAAAAAAAACAATGACTAGCGATCTGCGACCTGATAAAAGCATGACCAATAAGAGGGAGGAAGGCAAAATTTGGAAGAAATTATGCATCACAGATGTGAAAATAAAGCAAACAAGCAAATAGGCCAATAAATCTACAATACTATAAATATCCAGAAAATTACAATCTTGTTGCTAGTGCATTTAGACACTGGGATATTTGGGATTTGATGACTCATCACACTGATAGCAATCTAATTTTGTTTTCTACACATCTACAAGATTATTTTTAATGTAGCATGAGTAAGATACAGTGAATGTACACACAATCGAATTTGTGTAGATCGATAGCTCCTCTCTTGTCTACCGTATTTGTTCAACATTGATAAGAATGTAATTTATCATCCGTTTAACGTGACAATCGTTGGAAATAAACAAATGGATTAAGACTATGAAACTTGCAGCATCCCCTAAGGTGTCTAGACAGTCACACAATCTCTCTCTCTCTCTCTATACATATATATATATATATATATATGGTTTTTGTATTTTTAATATATTTTCTGTGCGTTGAAGTTCCTCTAGCAGTTTGATAGGTGTAGTGGTGTGGGGTTGCTAGCCCCACGCTCAACCCTCCCTCTTTACCCGGGCTTGGGATCACCTAGAAAACTAGCCAGCTAGTTAACTAAGCGTGGAATTATGCTACTAAGTCGCATCATCCTTGAGAGAATATAGGATCCACTGGATGCTGATCTCCGCCACCCACCGGAACAAGCTGAATTCAGGAAAGGCAAACCATGTGCTGATCGAATTGCAACTCTACGCATCGTCATCGAACAAAGCATAGAATGGCAGTCAAACCACTACCTTAACTTCATTGACTTCGAGAAGGCATTGGCCAGACATCGTTGACTGAAAAGTAATTTGGAAACTACTTCAACATTACGGCGTACCTCAAGTCTTTGTCAACCCCATTCAGCAGTTGGCTATATGACAGTGGCACGTGCCAGGTGATCCACAACGGGAAACTCAGCGAGGCGTTCGAAGTGCATACAGGAGTAAGAGAAGGCTGCGTATCTATTATCACCGATGCTATTCTTAATTGTGGTGGACTGGATTATGCGTCAAACTGTCCATTGGGAGCAAGAAGACAGGAGTACTCTGGATCACCGATGAGAAGACTCTAGATGATCTGGATTTCACGGATGATATTTTTCGAATGTCACACAAACTCGAAGATTTGCAAGCGAAAACCAACAAACTGGCTGAAGAGACTGGCAGCGAGGACAAGAATGCAAGTGAACATAGAGAAGACGGAGGTGATGAAGATAACCAACCAACAGCAACAACAACAAACACCAATCACCATCAACGGGAAAGATTTAACAGAGGTTGCCTCCTTCACTTATCTGGAAAGCATCGTTTCAACTACAGGCGACAGAACGGATAAAGATATCAAAGTCAGAATCGGAAAGGCAAGATACGCTCTTTATCAACCTGAAGCCAGTTTGGAAATCCTTCTACACTCAGCATACGGAACAAGAATCGCATCTTCAACAACAATATCAACTCGGTCCTTCTATACGGGTTAGAAACTTGGCGTGTAACGAAAAGGATTTCCAACAGCCAGTTGCAAACTTTCATCAACAGCTGCTTTCTCTGGTCCCGTACTGAAGATCGAATGGTCAGAAAGGATTAGCAACAGGAAACTGTGGGAACAAACCAACCAAGAGCCGATCGCTCAAAAAATATATGGGAGAAAATGGAGAAGGATCGGGCATACATTGAGGAGGTCGCGCCACGCCCTCAAGTGGAATCGAAATGGGAAGCGACGAGTGGGTCGTCAGTGTGAGAGTGACATGGAGGAGATCATGTGAGGAAGAGATGATAGAGTTTGGTCAATCGTGGACCCAGCTGAAGAGGATGGCAGAAAATAGAACAAAGTGGAGATGTGTTGTTGAAGCTCTATGTTCCACTCTGGAACCCAAAGGAACAATTATATATATAAAGGACACAAAAGAAGACAAAAGCGATTGCTTACCTGTTGGCCAGAGTCGTCACAGCCGAACATTTGAGTGATTGTTGGGAATTACTTGCAGATTGTGAAACATTTGATAGACCAGATTCACTGAACTGTATGTACACAGTAAAAGTTTCAAGAAGACAAAAACGATGATAATCTTTTGTTTTATACATAAGTGACAGTTAACAAATGTACAGAGGTATTAGATAACGGTAAAAATATGATGTACACACTATAGTGATAACGTCTTTGTAGTTACTAAAACTAGACACTTTATCCTACATACTTAGAACTCAGACAATGGAAATAAGCTAAAAGTTATCAGTCATTGATTACAAGTCAAATGTTGTGAGAGTAATTTTACTATAAAATAAAGCAACTGGCAGCCAGCTTGAATCATTGGGTACTTGAATTTGTCATCCAAACCACAATGCATCATCTCTCATGTTTTAACCATTCACAACTGTATTTTTGAGTCATAAAATGTACTCACATACACATTTTTGATAGACTTTCAAACTACCAGTGTGTATAGCTCTGAGGTGAAGGAAAAATACCACAAGAGATTAGTTCATGCTTCAAATTGAAGAGCACTATGTCACATAATATACTATACATGGCTAATTTACTTGAAGGCCCTGGATAAAGAGGAAATATTATGCAGAAAATTACACCTGAGAATTCTGTATGCTACGTAAACACGTTAAATCCAGAATAAAGAAATTATTGTTATTATTAAAACTAACACTTTAATGGTCTAATTATTACTGAAGTAAATTTGGGAGGACTTCGAGTGTTATGACCAGCTTTACCTTTAGTACTGCCAGCGTGTACAACGGAACTAATGCGGTTAAGGGAGTTACGAACTGTATGTGCTTGAGGTGGTTGTATCTTGTCTACTTATCCTATGTCAGTAGGGATGACATTAGGTTAAAAGAAAATGAACAGTGACAGGAAAAACATGAAATCACAGACTGTTGTTCTCAGTTAGAGATAGAGAAATACAGACTACTTGATTTGAGCCTATGAAACTACCCGAATAAACAGTTAAAGACCTTAGGTAATATGGCTCAGACTCGATGTCAGTGTTACGAATGTATTTGATTCAATTGTGATCACGGATTGACATTGGCTGGTAGTCGGGCTAAAATCACGTGGATCATTGAGTCGGGTCCCATTAGCTGAATGGTCCTTTAATCGGATGGTCCTGGGTTTGATCCAAGGTGTGTGTGTGTGCGTGCGCACTGCCAATGAGTCCCGAACTAGTAGGATAAAACAGCTGTCCAACACTCCCACTGTGGTTGGTTTTCAACGATTCTCTAACTGATATCAATCCGTGATCAGACTTGAAACAAATCTAATTCCTACAAACCAAACTCTTGAAAATGAATGTATCTACAATGTCTTCTGTGTTATAGCAATCTATGATGTTAGAGTTTACGGGGTTTCATTACTTTCAACTGGATATACAGGATACGATTGATACACAAGGCAACTGAGAATATTATACAGTAATAAAAGATCATGTGTTGATAATGACTAAGTATACCAAATTTTAAAGTGATAAAGTAATGTGAATTCAGGATAGTACCTCTAGAAAACTTTTATTTTCACCTAACATGACATTTGAAAACTATTCACTTAAATGATAACAATAAATTCCATCATATAAAGATGGTTAGGACATGTATTACGTATGCCTAGCCATCGCCTTCCTTAATGGGCAATGTTAGCTGACATAGGATCAAGTTGGAAAAAGAGCCAGTGGTGACCAAACCAAAACATGGCTTCATCAGTCAATGAAATCCACAACAGTTAGTTTAAGCCATCTAGCCAGTCACGTAGGGTAGTGTAGACTTCCTAACTGGTTGAGGTCCTCGGGACGGTAAAAACCAATAACATGGCTCAAAATCGTTCTCAATGGCTGGCGCAGATGCTTCCGCTCCATGTGACTTATAATATCTAATAAAACTATATAGTTCTTTGATATTTCCTCTCTCGCTTTGTGTGCTGAGTGAAGTGTGACGACTCGAACTGCTGCACACTGGGTGCAAAGTTCTACGTTGAGAACAGTCAGTCAGTCAGGCCAATTGAATGTAGAGCATAGGAAGAAAGGATCATTAGTTCAAACTGCTTTACCTCAAGACAAGAACAAGAATAAACAATTGAAGGGATATCCACTTAGAGAGGGAATTAATTTCAACACAGATTTTGTGTGGAACCAAAACCAATGACGACCAAGATGCACTGAACAACTATTTCGTCCTAGTTGGAGACTTTTGTAAAGTGCTCACTTATAACCTTTAAGTTTAACACTTAGCCGTTATGCTGGAATCCAATGATCCCGGAATTGCTAGTGTCTGTCTAGTCAACATACAAAGCTATCTTGATTTTTGATAAGCTTCAAAAATATTGTTTGGAAAAGAAAAGAAAATTCAGCGAAGAGAATTTTCTTTATCGACGAAATCATCTTCAGGGGTTGTGCAGTTGCATTTTTATCTACCAAAAAAGTATAGTAGTCTGTTATTGAGTAATACGATGATGACGCAGGTAGTTGAAATAATTACTAAGAAGCGGTCTTTCAAAATAAAATAACGATGTAATAGTCAAAGGTACAATGAAAGAAAGGGTTTGAAGTTTGATGAGGTTATAATTATTATTGAATGAGAAGTGAAACAGTTCAGTGTCCACTTGAAAATTAGTAAGAGGATAGGAAAGTGTAAAAAAAAGGAACATGCCAGCGTAATAACAGTGAATTAATTACGAAAATAAAAGCGAACCATTAAAGAAAAGATGAAGATCAAGGCAGAACAAACTTTTATTGTACTAAGAGTTCGGGGTTATATTGACGAATCGCCAGCACCTCCGCCATTCACAAATGCCAAAACCTAACACCTTTTCTACCATTCGGTCTCATCTTGACGATAATCTTAAACGACTCCAGTGAAGCTACGTGACGCGAGTTCACCAAGTGCCCAAGAATACAATTAGTGATCGTCTTACATTGTCCTCTTGCCAGCCATGCCGGATAATGTTCAGAAATGCGTTTGAAAGGTGTACACTCTGTGCGGTCAATAAAACTAGCTTCATAGGAGTACGTGAACTTATAAACATACATTAGTGGCCCAGAAGCGGTTATTTGTCCTTCACACATCCATTGATCATTTATCAACTGCACAAATGGATTGGTAGCTCAGTTGAAAGTGTTTCTCAGCAATTCGGTCGGCGATTCTTCATAATCTCAGCTGCAGTATCACCTTTAAATTCAACATTCATAGACGCCAGTTTCTTCGGCACCGCCTTCCACTTCATTTTCATACGTTTCTCGATGAATTTTGTAGGATATCCATTTTCAAATAGGACTTGTCAAGTTTTCTTCAGTTCACCTCTGATTGTATCCTTCTTATTCTTAAGAATAAGGAATGGATCACATTTCTCCTTGTCTTCAAACAGACATAACTATGAAAATCCGTGGAATAACTATTTCACGTTAGGCTTCATGTAGACTGATCTTTGAAGAGAGAACTGTCAGATATCATTTTTTTAACAAAACATCCAGGAAATGAAATTCGAAGTTCATCTCTAATTCTGGTGTAAATTTGATAGAATGGCGGCAGTTGTTGTTGAACTTCGTTATCATTCTGATGTCAGCACTTTGGTCACATGTAATGAAAGTATCATCCATATACCTCTGGAAACCCCCGCCCTCTCTCTCTCTTCCAATTACTCAATAATAAGTAAGTATAAATACGATTGCCCACCGTCTGAAACTGATTTCGTCGATACAGGAAACCTTCTTCGCTGAACTGCCTTCCATTATTGTTAGGAGGAACAACATACCATTGTCAGCAGCCGTAAAGTCATGACTGATGCAATCAATCAGATATCGATTGCGATTTAAATTTCCGTGGTTGTGTAAACGATATACATCCTGTATTTTGTATAATAAAGGTTGCTATCACAGTTAAATCCGACTTCTGTGTCTACTTAAGTGCAGGGGAATATTTTCAAGTGATCAATTGGTTACAATGTCGTGACTGGAGGCTCATTCTAGCCAAGATAGACGACAACCGCTAAATCACCAACAACACTCCATTACAACAATTTTCTTCATGACTCAATAAAGCCATTTTTATTTTTAATAATATTGAACTGATTGTCACAGTTTTTTTTTGACAAAATCAACTTCAAAATCAGTCGAATCTGTATTAGATTAACAAATGTTACTATTCTACCCAATGATATTTCATTTATCAATAAGGGATTACTAATGACAGTCCTTTCAATCACTTCTGGAGGCATACACACATACACACACATGCATGAATGCATACGGAAAGAAAACATTCACAATGTCGTTGAATCATCCTAGTGTAAGCAACAAAGAACTTGTACTTTAATACTTTAAGTTTATCTAATTCTCTTTTTGTCTTATGAAAAAACACAACTTAAGAATTAACATTTGACACATTATTACATAATTATTAATTATATGTTTGAAAAGATAGTTAAGGTCAAGTCAAAGAGCTTATTGAGGGAAAATATATAACTTCTAAAGGTTAGGAAAAGGCACATAAAAACACTTTGGAATGACGTAATCATCGATCAAAAAGTTCAGTTGTTCAACAATAGGCGACTGACTGACTCATCTTTCTTTATTCGGTTAGCATACTTGTTTTATTTAGTTAGTCAGTTATTATTATTATTTTTTTTAACTATGACGAGACATGAAATCTTCATCAGATTAGAAAAAACGTGCTTCACAGCGACGTGTTTTATCTATCTCTAAATGAGACAAAAGCTAGTAAATTATCAGACAGTCTAAACAACATGTTCTACAGATTTTATCAAGTGAAAAACAACGCCCGAAGATATATAATAGAGTGATCATAACTGATTTGATGCTAATTCATAAGTCAAAAATGCTGGTATATATAACAGTTTAAATTCATGTAATTACAAAGCATTTGTGGCGTAATCAGGATTACATCACGATTAAATAAGTGAATACAAATATAGAAACCCCAAGAATTCGTTTACAGGGATCTGACTTAAATCAAGTTTGACCATGGATTGATATCAGTTAGAGAACCATTGAAAACCAGTACGGAGGGCTGAGCTGAACAGATGTTTCAGCCTAGTGTGGAGCTTATAGTACGAATCCAGGACCATCTCTGCTACAAGACAAGCTCGTTGCTCATCCAACCCCTAGGAATCAACTGAAGGGCTCATGAATGCTAACTTCTACTAACTCATGATTTTAGCATGACCACCAGCCAGTGTCAACAGTGAGTATTCATCTTCACATCCGATATGGTGGATCCGACTGGTCACGACTTCTCAATAGAACTCCAGGCAACTTCATCCTATAGCCAGTTACTAGAGAGCATCAGATCAATTCTCAAGAGTTAGTTTGCAGGGATTTGATCTGTTTTAAGTTTGATCGATTAGAGAACCTTCGAAAGCTGAAGAGTCCCAAAGTAAGACGGAACAACCGTCTACTACTCCCTCTGACTGGTTTTCAATGGTTCTCTAACTGATCCTCAATCCGTGATCAAACTTTAAATATGCAAAGCACTATAGGAAGGCGAGACTCTTATCCGAATAATCTTAATACCACACTGGAATTGCAAATACAACAATTCCCACTTTATGCTGTAGAAAATCCGAATGTCTTCAGTAGTATACAGTGATGACTGGTACTGAAAATTTACGATATCTGGCCTTATTCTGTTCAGGGTTTTCTGGTTTAATAGGATGTTTCTTTCTTAGCCCAACAGCCTTCATTCAAAAATTTTAATTTTCTTTTTTTTTTCTCTCTTTGTTGATCGCTTGTTATCAATGTGATTCCATGTTAGAGTAAATACAAGAATCATGACAACATATAATTAATATTTAATCACTAGTATTTTGTAAATATAATCGAAAAGAAAAACACCTTTGTAACACCTACTCCTGAATCATGCGTAGGTTGGATTAAACGAATTGTCCAACTGCCCGTTTTGGTTGTTGCAGTTACTTCTGAATTCGACTTTAATGAGGAGAGAGAGATTATGTAAGCAGGTCGGGAAGTCTTATTCAATGGTTGATCACCGGGATTTGAGATAACAATATTACTATTGCTATTATTATTACTATTATTATTTTTCGAATTGCTTGACCAAGATACTCTGAAACAGATAAGGAGAAAAAATATACATACAAAAGATCAAAATAGAATGTGTTACATACACACACACTTTCAAGATCTAAGGAATAAAATTCAACTGGAAAAAAGACCGAACAACAACATTTTGTCAGAAAAGTTTTCTTTCGATCAGAAATTAGAATCAAAAACGGATCAACTGGACGTAACAACAACTGATGGCTTACCAAAATCAGTAAAGTAGGGAGTTGCAACAGCTCTAGTGGACTGACTGCTAATGATATCTCAGTAAAAATACAAAATAAACTCATCTGGCATTTACCAGCTCGTATCCTCTTTGGCACAGATGTGTTCAGGGTATATAGCAGTTTGCGCTGCGTCTTTCTTTACGGCTGTTAGACATGGATATTGAAAGTTGAAAATACGACAAGGTTAGTGGTTTTTATCCATAGATATCCATCTATCCAATAATGATGATGTTACATGTCGAACGCTGTGTGTAAAGAGAGGAAGTCTATCGATGACTTTGTGAAGCTCCATCGACTGCAATGAACAGGGTGTGTTTTACGCATCCTCAACCACCGCCTTCTTCGACAAAAGAAGTCCGACGCAGTTGGATTCGACTGGAAAAGAGAGGACGGCGGTCAAACCTAAGAATCCTAAAGATCAATAGTTGGAGAGGGTTAATGACCCGACTCAAAATTGTCTTTTACAGTGCAGATACATTAATAATCTTCTCCAACACATTTCTGTTAATTTTTATTTCATCGCGTTTATTTTCTCCAACTACATGAAGTGTGACAACTTGAAATGCTACAATTTTGTACTGAAAATTTAATTCAGAGAGCACGTTTCAGCGCTAAGTTTAACATTATGATAAATATGGGTTAGCATGAAAAGTTTTCAGGATACGGGATTTTTAATGGAAGTGCTTCACAGGTGTACAATTAGCCTAGTGTAAAATTAAGAATTGGACAGTTTTCCAAAGTGCTTAACAACACACTTGCAAGGTAGTAGAGTTAGCACTCTGTTTCACAGAACAGATTTACTTTCATACACCAGTACTCTAAGAACTTCAGATCTCTTCCCATAGTTTACTTATTTATAATCATGATCCACGTTATTATATAAGACTTTTAAAAAAAAGAGGCATTTTGGTTATGTTTAACTTTAAGGAAATAAAAAACAACAATATATATACATATTATTTCAAAGGCACATACAAGGAATTACGAAATAATAGACTAGATAATGGACGATTTTCTTGATCATCTAATGGCCAATACTTTTGTACAACTTGTTCATATCTTTGTCTTACATCCCAAGCAGTAATCTTCTTTTGTGAACAATTGCCTTGCGTAGTTAAACGATTAGCTATCAACTCCCAATTTGATCCATGAGTTAAATGCAATTGGATTAAAGCTGAATCATCCTCTTTTGTCCAAATTAAATTCTGTTCAGAAGTCAGAACAGCTTGGGGTAATACACTATGCTGTAGTAAAGTTGTATAAGTTTTACTAGATCTTGACATTTGTGGGAATAAATGTTTTAAGTATCTAAGGAAACAAACAAACAAATGCTGAGTGTAGTAGTTGCATAATAGTAAAATGACAAAATAAACAGGAAGTGTAGATATGAAAATATGGTAGTGTAGACAGAGATTAAGAATAATAATAATTCTGACATAAAGGAAATTAACTATCCCGGATTAGAAAATATAACTGTTTATAGGCAAACCTTTTATATCTCACCTACGAATGTATACAGATGAGAAGAGAATATCCTTTCAGTGGTCACAATTTATTTATTGCTAACACTTTGGGTAAAAAGAAAGCATTTCAGTCAATTGACAATTGAAGAAACAAGAGAAATGTGGTTTCAGTATACCGGTGTACTGCATGAATGGAGTTTATTAAACTCATTCCTCTTTAAAAGGCAATGTTCTTTCTTTTATAAAGTGAGCTGAAATAGGTCAAGCCTGGTCATTAAGTTACACTTGTCTAAGTTAAACAGCCAATGACCTAAGCGGTTGACACGGAAATAGGATAGACGACTGTTTACTGATGACTAGGATTACATCCAGTGCTTCACAGTCACACACTTTATCACTTAGCTATTCAGGAACACAACCAACCTTCTGTAGAACTGAAATATAGCAGCTAACGTCAAATTTTTAGTCCTCACAAAAATGAAAGGGAGGGTGTGAACGTCTGGCGCCTACAACTGGTCTGGTGGGCATGCTGCTGGAAAACTCTGAATCTAAACCTATGGTGTATATGGGCTCAAGAATTCGAAAGCATCGAATGGTGTATGAACCTATTTTGGTAACCAGAAACCTTAAGAACTTAGCTCCAGACGCTGCCCTCCTGACCTGTAGGTTAGAATTCGAGTCGAAGACTTGGGGGAATTACCTTTTAAGACAGTCATCTGTTTTGGTCCAAGAATCCGAACAGTATTCCAGCCCTCACAAAAAACATGAAATTGTGTGATGTATCTCTTGGTGTTCATAATGTACCAAGTTGGTGTTTCAATTAACAGAAATAATATCGTTTCCAGAGTGGGTGCTAAATGAATTCTATCAGTCGAATATGCAATATGGCAACTAAGCCAGATGACAAATAATCGCACTGCACTTTGATCTGACACTTAAAAATCATTCCAACGATTAAAAATAAAAGAAAGTAAAATAAAATTTCTTACTTTACTGCTTTTTACACATATACGAGATTATTAGTCTTGGTAATACATTCTACAATGCGAAATTAGGATTGGTGAGAACGTAAAACTAACTTTCAGTCAATGGCTCCCCAGTTAGAATTCTGCTCCACTTCAGTCCGGACAGTATCATTAACCCTTAAACAATGACTGTGGCTTACAGCCTAGTATATGGGAAACCTATTCCAGGTAACTAGGTTCAAGCGAGCATAAAATGTGTTATCAGCACATGCTGCTGCTGCTGGATTCAACATAGAACTTGGCACCGAAGTGCAGCAGTTCGAGTTGCCACCTTCCAAATAGCACACAAAGGTAGACAGGAAAATGAGAGAAGAGAGTCAATAGAATTTAGATAAGTATAAGAGTGAAACAGAATCAGTAATGGTAGAAAGGAATATGAGGGTTAAAGAGACGTAATACATCTGCGCCATTGACAACGATTTTGAGCCATGTTATCAGCACATACACTAATTACATGTTTTCATTAGTTTAAATGCAAGAATTTCTTAGAAAAAAATATAAAAATTCCGTTTCACCTTGTTCTCATACGAAATATAAAATAAGTTCTGTAATATATGTTACCAAATAACACAAGTAGTTATAGTTCGCTGATTTCCCTTCAGAACACTTATTAGCCATTGTTATTACAGTTTATTTTTAGAAAAAAAATAGAAACGTTTCAAATGTACTGAAAATGAACTCATCAACAACTACTCACCTTTCAGAACACTGTGAAGCTGGTTTACCTAGCCTTTTTCCAATAAGATGCCAACGACTTTCACCATGTCGAGAAACGTGATCTAGAAGTTTACAATCTTCTAGGTTCGTCCAATCCCCAGAGGAATCTCCACATCGCCTTTTAGGTGTTTCATGAAGGTCGATTGGATGATTTGATGGATTAATAGTAGTAGTATTGTCTCTCAAGGTAGTTGGACGGTAATTCATTTAACATAACTAAAACGACCAAAACAAATAACTGTTAAACTTGAATGATTTCACGTTTGATATATTCAATATACTGGTGACCTGGAAAACTGAAATAATATACTAGTTAAGACTGTCACAGTAATATTAGTATAGCCCGTTGGTTACGGGAAAATATATTTTCACGTACCAAACAACATATTCAACAACCTTCCTTTTAAGAAAATATATTAAGTGCTTACAAGTTGCCACATTGGAGAATGACGCAAAAAATAATTGGAATAGAATAGTACTACAACGAATAATCATAGAAAAGAGACGAGAAATAATCCACCTGGTGTAGACGTTTAGGATTTCGAAGGTAATAAAGAGTGAATACATTTGCATAACATTAGAACTTCTCAGTTCCAGCACTAACAGTATTCAATCGTTAGTTCTTAGCATCCACAGGACCACAGTTAGGGTACCTACATGAACAAACAACCATGAATCATATTAAGTCTAACCACGCCGAAAGGTTTTAGCTGAACTTATCCGCGCTTCAGAAATAGTGACTTAGCATGCCCGTCACAAAATCTATCATCTCATCCAATGACATTTCCTTTCATCGTTTTTGTATAACTTGTATTTGGTTCCACCTCATACAAACAATGAAATAAAAGATCTATTCCGATCGAAATCTTTTTCAGTCGTTCGGTGGGAGAGCAGGGGATGATGTATGGCAAATGACAAACCACTTTTTTTCTACTCAGGCTTAATTTCCTCATCAACAGGTCTACTAGAGCCAATGGAACTTATCAAAGTAGTATAACGGCCATTTTATTTTGTTACTCCATCCCCTACTTTGTAACTAGGAATCAGTGTGAACCAGTTCGATAGCACACGGAACTTTTGACGGATGGATATAGAACATGCTAACAATGTTCGAAAAACTCATGAAAGTATTAACACCATTTACTAGACAGATATGTACTACCGTGCGTATGCGTCACACTTGGTTTTGTAGCAGTGTAGATCTTTACATATAATCCAAAATAATAATTTGAGATCACAACAGATGTTTATCGGGAGCGTTGAATAACTATACACTACACCTTATTTGGAGTAGGACTGAGCTTTGTAATGATATAATTGAGTATATGTTTACTGTAAACAAAAAAGATGAACATCCTGGGTTTGATATTTTAGCTTCTTTGACATGATTGACTTGGAGGTGGTTCATTCTTTCCAGCGACTTCATTCACGAACTAATCCAAATCCTCGAATATTTGCAGTGGTGCTCTGCATACGCCATGATTTAGTGGGAGAAACTATGTTAGGATATCTTCATTAGAAACAGATGTTCTTATGAACAGTAATGATCATTATTGGAGAATACAGTCAGCCCCAATACTCATAACGATGGTTCAGTCAAGCATTCAACGGAAAACCAGTGAAAATGTGTCTCACAACACTACTTGTTTGTTAGCTTTACGACCCATGAAATTAAGAAGTTTTTTTTATTATTTTGATGGAATTTCAATACAGAACTTTGCACAGAAGTGCAACAGCTCAGGTTGCAACACTCCATGTAGCACATCAACGTAGACAAAAGAGAGAAAATTAGGTTCAAAAAATTATTATTACAAGCAGAAATATGAGGGAGAAGAATAGGAACATGAAAAACCATGACGGCTTAGAGGATATAGGGGACCACAGAGAATGAATGCATCTGCGCCATCCATTGAGAACGATTTTGAGCTATATCAGTAGTCGTCTCCTGCCATTGGTTCTCAGCATACCGAGGGCCCCAACTAGTCAAGAAGTCTACACTTCTCTACACGGCCCAAACCAGTGGTCAAAAGCTTGATGGATTTATCCCGAGTTTTCATTTCACCACTCCCAACTCTTTTCCAACCTATTCCTGTCAGCTGGCGTTCCTCGTCGAGGAAGCTGGTTGCCTGGCATCCACAACACAATTTCTAGTTATCTCAACAGATGCAGCTTCACAATCTCTTTGATTAACTTATCATCCTTGCCTAACACTGTATATCTAACCTCAATATTATACTCATCATATTATGCCGCTTAACACGTGAGATTTAACGCGAACGTCTGTGGCCAAAGACACTTTATAATTAGGCTGGTCCCACAAAAATAGATCGCACCGATCAAGGTACTCTACTCGAACTCATGCAGCCAGATGAGAGCTTACATAGAGTTGTCATCTGAAATGAGGACAACCAGTGGTGTTTGTCAGGGATGCCCACCAGTCCCCGTTTCTATTTAATTTCATCATACATATACTAATGGAATTAACCCTAATTGACTTAAGCGATTCAGGAGTTGACTTGTCACCAGGAGATAATCTTGTTGACTTAGAATATGCAGATGATATAATCCTTCCAACTAGGTGAAGACGCTGAAAAAACTGAGCAGATTCTTCTGAACGCCTCGAGTAGCAACAATCTTCGAATGTTTGGCATGAGATTTGCTCCTGTCAGATGTAAGATGAGGCTACAGGACTAGACCACATCGACTCACAGTGGCTTGGTTCATTCCAAAAGAACCATATCTGATTATCATAAGCAGATGCCATTTGTTTTATGCATCGTACATTATGTTTACCACTCCTGATGAGAACAACAAACCTTAACAACCATAAATGGTGGCTAGGTAAATAAGCTGAGAACAACTAACTACTCATACATTTCCAGAGCTTAAAAATATTAGCAACCAACTCTTATAAGTGAACGATTACAAGCCACATATGTACGTCGGTGGCAGCAAGTCATAACAAGTAACATTTACGACGGTACGTTATTCCCAGTTAGAAACGGCCTGAGATAGAATAAATGGTCTTTTGGGGATATATTCAAGAACAGAATCACAAAATATAAAACGACCTCAGAACACCATGGTATATGTACATTTTCCCAATAACTTCGAAGCTTTTATGGCTCCTTAATGCTGATTACTTCCTCAGGACTAGTTCTAATTTCGATCCAGGTGGCCGCTGTAGTCTATCATCATCCTAAAATGGAACTGATACTATGTCACAGTCAATTCGTATGTATATACCAATAGATAGTAATACACTAAGCCATGTCAAACAACATATCGAGAAAATTTAGTGACCCAAATGCCTTGTAAATAAAATCCAAACAATACAAGGTAGTAACAATATACATAAAGATTTTCACATTATTTTACCGGTCAAATCATCTCTAAATACCAACCTTTTCGATAATTGCTGTCATGATAACGGTTCCTTTGTGTTACCCCCTATTCACACCCCAGATGGGAAAGAATGATCCTACAAACTAAAACAAACTAATGTCGAAGGTCAATCAAGATTACGCAACAACCATTTTTATGCCCCAAATAATCAATTAGATGAGAATGAAAAACAGTTCCCAACTCAAAAGATGCGTGTTTTTATACAGACATAATTTACTAACGCGGAAAGGTTGAAAATATTCAGATATTTTCATAGGGTGAGGATAAACGTTACCGTGATATATTATCGCGCACTGTATGGGTTTTCGCGTTCACGCCTATAGAGGCGTTATAATCGTCCAGTTTTGCAAAAATAAATTACATTTGCTTCGTTTTAGGCTTCTGTAGCCGAAAAAGCAATATTTTTGTGTATTGTGTTCATAATAATGGGTAAAGTTGTCTTGATATCCCAGATGGTTTATCACCAAAAAAGTCATCCTTTACAAGAAATTTCGCATGGAAAGACTATTATTTGCGTTTCAGAGCCTTAAAGCTTTGTTATTTGCGAATTTTCATAGATCTTAAGGTTGCAAATTGACCACAGACAATGGTTGTTGTCATAGCAGTTATTCTATGTGAATCGGGCGTTTGAAAGAGAAATAGCCTACAAACATAAGTTAGATGTACGTTTTGAGGATTGAAATATTCCGTAACACATAGAAGAGATCATGCGGTGAATGAGACAAGCTGCTGGATTTCCTGGTGATTATATCCATTTCTATGAAGTTCCCTGTAAAAATTACTCAGGCAAAGATGCAATACTAGTTTAATTTACATTGTCGCATGGAATTTCGGGAGACCGAAATTGCTCAATGAATAACATGGCATCAGATTATGTTGATATTAGTGTGCATTGGGGCAAGAAGAATAGTATAGATGGCCCTTCTGAAATGTCACACTGCCAAAAATTAGTGTCAGCTTTCTGTCGAATAGTAGCTAGCAGCTGTGTCCTACAACTACTACACCTGTTAATTAAGTTATACCAGTGTTAATAATTATTCACTTTCAGATCACTAAGTTATTCTGAGATATTTAATAAATTACTTGTGGCTATGAAGGATATGGAAGGTGCACTTATGGCTCATATATTTAGAGCATTTATTATTAAAGAAGTCATCTGTAGGGATTTTGTGATGTTCAGGGTACAATGCTTGAGTGTATGTAGTTACTGCATGCTATTGTGCGTGAAGGGGCAGCTGGTGAAAATGAAAAAAGGATACAGTTTCCTATAAACTCACTATGAATACTGCAAACTGTTGATAAGAAACTGCATCAAAGGAAAAAATTCCGAACACCTAGAAAATATTACAGCAGTTTCGATGATTATTACCTTTTACATTTGTAAATCATCTTTCCAAATTTCATAATGAAGGCAAAACATCAATGCTACCCCATAGGCCCTACAGAAATTCGTGAGAGATCTTACATATTAGGTTCTAAGCTTGCAGATCTTTCAATTTACTTGTCACTGAAATATCACTTACCCAAATATAGTGTTCATTGTGAAGGGTTTGCACTTTAACATTTATGATAACCTGTTCTAATTGCCTGTACGCTAATCGAACAATCTAAACTTTTGAAAAAGTATTAATTTGTGATACTTCACGATTGCAATTTATGGCATAACTTATTGCGCCTGTAGAAATGGCATGCATTCCTTGTAAACACCCATTCATACGACATATTAAATTATTATTATTTGCTTGATACTATACTTTAGAAGATGAACAATGCGTGTGACAGTGAAAACCACAGAAGAATGCTGTCATGACCAAAGAATGAGAAAGGAGAATGAACCTTTTTCAGCAAAGGTAGGCAAATATAAAGCGTTTAACTTTAACATTACTTTTTTCTAACTTCAGCGATTTAAAAAATACACTTTATTCACTTATTTGCAGATGTCCAGAAATGTCAATCAACCTGGTCACAGCAATTCGACATCGCCGAAATAATTACGAAAAACAATTGTGTAAAGACATTTACTTGTTATTATTCTTCATTAACATCCTGCTTACCATACTTTTCTTATTCCATCTGAGTGAAAATAAATTTGCAACAGCTCAACCTATTCAATTATTCGTCGCGTGTACACTTCGTCTTGCACTATTCGTTAACACCCGTAATCATATGGATTGACATCATGCTTTAAGTGAAATAATAGCAATACACTACTTTTGAATACACCTAACCTTATACGAAATCGAACTCCACTGTTGTGCCTAAGTTCTATTCTTATTGTTCAAATACTGAAGTTAGGTATTTTTGTCATTGGTCCCTACAGATTTACCTATGACTAAGAGACGTAATCGCATAATCTTAAACAAATGTTTAGGCTTGACTAAAGTACTTATAATTCACCACTTATACCGATCGATAGTGTTCCCACAGAATTACACTGACGTATAGTAACGAGTTCATATCCTAGAGAGTACCGGTCTAGCATGCCGTACTCCCACTGCAAGTATATGAAGTAGAACACAAGAACATTAGATAGAAAATTTTATTTCGCTGCAACGCAAACAAGTTTATTAACATGTATGGAATGTGCACAGTCAGAGATGAAAGTCTTCGTTTGGGAAGTATTTCCCATTATTCGACGGAAACTTCCCAGTGACCAAATTGCGGCACTCTTAAATTCTTAGTAATTCAAGTAAAAAGAACTGTGTGCCCACATCTGCAGTTATCCGGTATCACGAACTGTAAAAAGAATATCTACAAGGTTATAGGTGAATGAGAGAACTCACCTTCACTTGCTGTCGTATGTAGATTCAACTCCTACAACTGATTATGCAAATGTATCTGGTCATAAATCGTTAAACACTCGTCAGTGATTTTTCGGATGTCTTTGTCGGAATGTGACTATATCTGCTTCCACTGGATCCAACTAACTGACAAACCTCATTACGACTCGACATTTGTAAAGGTGATACAGATTAGATTCACTTACATGATTGGCATTCATGATTTAAGTATACAACCAGTTCAGTCATCATAGTTGACACTTCTTTTGAAACGTGGAGCACATTAATGGTGCAGAAAATATCATGACTATTACGCATACATAATATTATTAACTGCCAGTAATCGTGCTATCAATACATACTACAAAAATTCATTTGACAATACTTCGTTAGTGGTCTTAGGGACAAAAATATTAAAGCGAAACATACAGGCTAGATGAAAGTTCCACGAAGTTGTCTCACTACTATACATTGTCTCATTCGCCGGTTTTACCTCTGCATTTGAACGTAGCCACATACTGGTATGTTGAAAAGGTTGTCACTGTTAGCAATATATAAGTTCCTCGCCTTTTGGGAGTCTTGTAACGCGTCCGCAGCTTCTTACATAAGTGCTGCTTCCGCTCACACTAATTATCTGCGATGCAATTCTAGAAAAAGGGCTCGTTAGTGAAGCACATTATTGTCACAGCTTGTCACAGTTAATCCGCAAGAAACACAGGATACCAGACTATATGAGTGAGAAATATCGAAGTAGAAAATGCTGCACGTATAACCACAACCCACGGGATCGTAGTCACTGATAACCACCATAATGGCCAACCAGTTTCAAGGGAGTTTCTCACGAAAAGAGCATTGTGTCTGTATAAAAACAGTGAAGCAACGTTAGAAAACGCAAATGTTACATTTATAGTCATCACAGTGGCTTGCAAACAACGGATAACACAACCACACAAAGCCGCACACGATAGCACCTACCGAGGACGAATCAAAAATCCAACTGACCGCCACCGTTCTAGCCAATGAAGGACGGGCAAAACCCGAAGCGCGGTAAATTTATAACGCGATAACGTATACCCTCACCCATTTTCATAAGTATAAAACGGCCAAACCTGTGTCAATCCCCTCATCATGAGTGTCTGTTCTTCTTTTATCCATTTCTGAAAGAGTTGGCTAGGGGTCTAGACACCACATCTTCTTAGAGTTGGTTCCGAAAGGAAATGACTCGGTGGGTAACTTCTCCAGAGCAGCATAGTTTCTTTTTGACTTTTTGACTCACCCACTATGTTCCCTGAGATGTTCTGGCCATGTGGATAGGAAAACCGACAGCAGATCAGGTTTGTAGTCATCTACTTAATTGAGAATACTGTAATGTGAAAAGGAGAAGAGATCCAAGCTGTAAATCATTTCCTCCTATAGTTAATTAGTGATACCAAGAATCCTACACACCGCCGTCTTTTGGACTCTTTCTAGAATGTGTGGGCAACCTAAAACAACGGTTAGCCGTCTGTTTGCAGATTTTTGATTGTCCCCGCTAGATATGAACAAAATTCCAGTAAAGTCCCTGGGTACTGCGCACACGGATCTAAAACTGCGAGCTACCACTGCACAACATCATTACATAAAGATCCATATCAGCATGAACTAGTAGCATTGGCATTCCCTCATATAATATACCCTGATAGGTTCAGGATGCACATGATCGCCCACGTCTCTACGGTGATGGGTAGCATTCATTCTTTGGACAAGGTAACTGTTTACTGAGGTCCCCTCTCAACGAAGGTATGTCGCAGTGATCCCTGAGCTTCTTACAAATATTTAGGTTGACTTTGCAGACAATAACAAGAGATTTGGTGAGATAAGATAACTCGTCAACAAACAGGGAGTGTTGGGGGTGAAGTAAATTGCCTAGTGGTAAGTGGCTGTGCACCTGCGTTTAAGGAGAGATTTTCTTTTTGGTTCTGACTCTCTGCCCCCATCCTAAGAGGAGTTCTTTGATAAAGCCAAACAGGTCGTCCTTTATTCAAAGACTGTATAGTTGCATAATTAATCCTGTGAGAGGCACTTTGTCGAGAGCTTCGGTGAAATCTTTTCATCCTTTGATTTGCTCCAGCCCTCCTTCACTATGAGGTTTGTCAGACATAAGAGGATTCCCTCAGAAGCTTAATCTGAGTTGGATAGTAAGTTATTTTATGAATATACTCCGACAGCTTCTTTGATTAATCCCTCCAGTATCTTGAGCACAAAGCTGGTAAGGCCTATGGTTTGAATGAATTCACATTAATCCTTAAGTATGGATGAGACGTATTATCACCCCCTCCGAAACACATGGTAACGCTTCATGTAAGAGGGATAGTACTAATATCG